ATCCCCCAGGATGGAATGAATTCCGTCCTTTTACTTTTCAGTGGGGAGGAGATACGAGCGTAAGAGAGAAGGAAGAAAAGACACGAAAGAGACAGCGGTATGACGCGACTGTCGCGGACACGTCTTGCCAAATCCTTCATTGATTGTGGCTGCCCAGCCATTCCCTGGGCATTCCCCAGCCGCCACGTAGTCCCCTCTTAATTGGTCGGAGAGCCCTCTGGGCCGCCCTGCCCCGCCCCGCCCCACCCCGCCCCGCCTCGCGCGGTATCAATGCCGCAATCAAAATGCAAACCGTTTTCAATTTCAAAGTTGTTAGAGCGGAGAGTGTTATTCCGGCAAAACTACATCCACAGCGCGGTCGCCGATGGCTGCGACGCAGCAGACTGCTTGCAGTGCGGTGAACAACCCGACCCGTCAGTCGGGCGTGGGCTCGCTCCGCAGTCCTCGAAGGACATTCAGGAACACCTGGCGGTGGCCATGGTTGTCATCCGTGCGAGGGATTGATTAGCTCCTGGGTCGCAGCCCTGACAGGGTGAGGCCACTGCGAGCGGCTCGACTTCGGAAAGTGGGGGCCACATTCTTGCACCCAGGCGTTAGGGTCGCCCGTGAACCGAGAGACAGCCTCCGGCCCGCCCTAAGCCGAGCCCCACTAATCCAGCCTAACCTCTCAAGTTCGAGCGCAGCCACGGGACTCGGCCCCCGCGACCCAAAGAACAGAAAAAGGTCACTATGATGTCAAATGATTGGTGACAAGATGACATCATTGCCGACGGTCAAAGTTAGCGATTTTTGACGTCAAGTGCACGTCAATTGATATCCTTTTATTGAATATGATATCTTATGATATGAATTTGACACAAAATACCCAGTCAAATTCTAGTCATGAGGGGTCACTGATGCAGAGCGTGACTAAATTTTATCAATTTTAGCTTACTTGACGTCAATATGACCTTTTCCTGTTCTATGGGGAGCTGTTAGTCACGTGGGGGACGACACACAGTGGGCCAGAAGTCCGGTGGAGGCGGTCTCAGTTCCGGACCGCGTTTTGAGCTCCGGAGTCGCTAAATGGGACTCGAACCGAACGTAGCCTCACCAATAGATTGCCCTCCGAACGAGGAATCCATTGGTGCGGCCACACGCTCGGTTCGAGTTCTGTTTAGCGACTCTGCAGCTCAAAACGCGTCCGGGATTTTGACCGCCTCCACCGGTCTTCTGGCCCACTGTGCAACAGACTCTTCGTCTCTTCGGGGATGTGGTTCGAATTTGGTCGCCCTAAGTGACTGCGGATAGTCCCCCACTTTCGCACCGACACAATTTGAGCCGGCGGCAGTGGGATGAGCGCTGCAGGACCCCCATATCCTGGCGCGCGGCCCCCGGGGGGCGGCGGGGGCGGCGGGGGCGGCAGGGGGGCGGATGTTGGTTCGGCCAGCGGAGCGGCTGGCGCTGCAAGCGGATGTCTGCTGAGCCTTCAATCTCTAATCCAATCAAAGGTCCAATTTGGCTCGGATGATGGAGCAAGGAAAGGGCGGGCCTGGCCGGCCTGGCTCGGGGGCGAGGGCGCTGTAGTCCATCCAGGCCCCCCACACCGCCCCGTCCCCGCCCCGTCCCCGCCCCGCCCCCCGCGCTGGAAGCTTGCACAGATTCCAATTTGCGGGGCGATAGTTGGCGATCAAGGTAGGAAAGGGTTGCGACCCCCACCCCCTCCCCCCTCCCTTCCTCAACTTTCCAAACCCCGGGCCGGCCGGGGCGGGCAACCCTTTGCCTGTCCGGGGCGTCACTCCGGGCCAGCCATCAGGGCGGTAACTAATGCCACCCCGAGGAACCGAGCACCTAGCTCCCCCTCCTCTCTCTCTCTCTCTCTCTCTCTCTCTCTCTCTCTCTCTCTCTCTCTCTCTCAGCCCCTTCAATTAGGAAGTAGTCTCCCATGATCGACTAATGCGCGTCGCGCCGCTTCGCCGCTTCCGCCGCCAAATTGATTTGCCCAAAAAAAAAAAAAAAAATATCTAAAATAAAAATAAAAATGCGTTTAAAAATTGAAAACGACGACGCAGATTTGAAGCAGCGCGTGGGTGAGTAAAACGAGGTTCGCGAAAGCCGAAGGGAGAATTAATTGTATTTCGATCACCTTGCTCCGTCTCGCTCTGGCCGGGCGGCGCGGCCGCGGGAGGGAGCGAGAGGGAGGCTTTTGTCGCGGCGGCCATTTGCATTTTGCGCTTTGCATTTCCTTTTGTGGTTTAAATGCTCCCCCCGAGGAATCTGCTTAGCTTTGTGCGCCTTGTCCGCGCTTATTAAACGCTTCCTGCGTCGCTCCGTCTCACTCGCACCCCAAGGGCGCGCAGGCAGCGCCCAGCGAGTGCGAGAGAGACAGCGCGACGCGCCGCCGGAGCGGTTCGGAGTCGGCCTCCAGTGACGAAAGTCACCTCTCTCCGCGGACCACTCGCTTTTTAACCCCTTTTTTTTTCGGCCCCTCTTCCCAGTCCATTCTCTCTCCCCGTCTTGTCCGACAGTGTGTAAGCACTTTGTGACTTTGAGCCGCCTTCCGAATGAAAGAGATCTTCCTCTTTAGCCGGAAACGGAAAAAAATCGGACAGAGCGGAACGAAAAAACAAAAAAAAAAGTCGGTGGGAGTTTTTTTGATGAGCGTAGACTTCTGCAGACAAAAGCGCGCGGTAGACCGCCAAGGAGCGGGGAGTGGTGTTTGCAGTGCGAGCAGCGAGCACGGGCCTACATGGGAATTACAACGCGAAGGGGAAATCGGGTCATTTAGGGTGTATCACTTCGGCGCCCCGCCCCGGCCCGCCCCGCCCCGCCCGGAACGCCCTGCCAGGTGCGGCAAACTCAAGGCTGCAGTAATTACCTGCGATAACAAGGGCTGACTGCACGGCCCGGCAGCTGCAGCAGCAATATCAATGTAGAAAGAGAGAGCGAGAGAGGGGGATTAAAACGAACGGAAGTGATGGCAGGAGGTGGCAACGCCACGTCGCTTATGCACGCCCCCTCCCCCTGCAAGTCCCGGTGCCGCGTGTCTGTTAGCGCGCGAGTCAGGGGAGAGAGAGAGAGAGAGACAGGGAGAGAGGACGGCGGGGTGGTGGGCAATTTTAGAGCCGAGCTGACAATCACTTTGATGGATATATGGAGAAAGCGTAAATTGGATCAATAATAAGGAAAAGGCGTGGCGCCGCGCGAGACAGCCGACGGAGTCCGAGGGGTCGCTGCGTCGCTCTGTCCCCGTCGCACTCGCGGGGCGCGCCCGGGGGTGCGAGAGAGACAGAGACGCGGCGTGGCGAGGGAAGGGCGCGCGCAGACGGGCTGGCAAACAGACGCGCGGACACGCGGCGAGCGGACAGACAGACAGACTGACAGACAGGCGGACGCACCCGGCAGCCGCACCACACGCGGGAAGGCGCGCGGAGAAGGCGCCTGGGGCCGTGTCTGCCTGATACAGCGCCGCCGAGGAGTTCGAGGGGAGGGGGAAGGGGTTAGTGGTTGAGCAGAGGGAGGGGAGGGGTATCAGCGCCGCAGGTCATTGCATCCCCCGCTGATCAAACTCGTCAAATTACGGGGTGGGGCGGACACTGTGCTCTACACTGTAGGGCGGCGGCGCGCGGAGCAGCGCTAAAGACCGACAAATAACCGCTTATTAAATCCGGCCCGAACCCAATCTGTCTCTGGATATGGATGCTTATCGGATAAAATTGATTCGGTTAGCCAAACTCGATTAATTATTATCCGGGCTGGAACGCGAGGGCCCGGGCCGCCCCGTCGCCAAGTTTGCCCTCCGCGCTGCGGGCCCGCGGCCACACGCCCACACCGCGCGTGCGAGCGACCACGTCATGGAAATCTCCTCTTCGATTGTCCTCCAAAATGACATACTTTACAGTGTTCTCGAGACTAGACTGATGGCATTGAAAAGCGGCACTTGCGCTATTTCTGCTCCGCTCCCGAAGCTGGTATGAAAATTTCTTTTTGTATGCGACAGGCCGATCGCATACATCGCGACACTCTTTTGGATTCCTTGACTCTCTACCCGCCGCAAAAAAATGTACGTGAATGAATATAAGAGTTGCGATGCTTTCGACTAACTTTTCCAGGGGGCCAGTCAGTCGTAAAAATCGCGTTAACTTCGCGCATTCATTTTCTTTCTGTCACTTTCTTGGCAAAAATCTGACCAAAGAGAGGCAGCAAAGCCACGCCCACTCCGCCTCAACATTCCAATGGTAGGTCGTGGACCCGTATCGCCCACCCAAATTTTGTTTCGTGAAGAAGAGAAGAAGAAGAAGAAGAAGAAGAAGAAGAAGAAGAAGAAGAAGAAGAAGAAGAAGAAGAAGAAGAAGAAGAAGAAGAAGGAGGTCGCCTCAGAGGGTGAGAGGTGAAGAACCCGTGTCTGCATGCACGCATATTGTGTCGAGGCACGGAAAGCGAAAGTGCAGGCGGGGCGAGGCGCGAGGCAGCGAGGGACAAAGACAGACGGACAGTTTGAAATATGACAGAAATAAGGACAGGCGCAGTGGGCACCCGCGCGGGGCAAGAGCAAGCGGCACACAAAATTTTCCACTTTCTTCGTGTCGCTCCCTGACGGATTTCTCTTCATTCCACGCCCCGCCCCATCCTGCAGGCGTTCATTCCGAGTCGCGTGTTGTTGTCTCTCTCCCACGCACGGCGCGTCCCGGAGGAGCGCGAGAGAGACGGGAGAGCCGCGGCTCGGAGTGAGCCCGCTGTCGCTGTTTAGGCGATCTCGCGGCGCCGCGCGAAATGAGATCCATCCAACCTTGTTTGCGAAATATCCACTTACAATCCCATCGCGAGACGCGGCTTTAAATCGGATCGCTTCCAGTCGCCGGGACGCGCAGACACGCAGCATCATTACGACTTTAGCGTGACGCTCTGACACACACTTGAGCGCACAGGGCTCTGTCTCTCTCGCTCCCATGCCGGATCCCCGATGATTGCGAGAGAGACAGCGAAGTGCCAGGCGCATTTTCCTCAAGGTATAGGCCTACCCTTGTCGCCGGCACACCCGTGGTCGCCGTCGTTGAGTCTGTCACGCTCACCTGTAATCAAAGAGAGATAGAAGGGTTAGCTCGGGAGGATTCGAAATGTTACGCGACGAAAGCAGGACATCACCTTCGTGAAAGGACATGAGTGCAGTTTCTATTGTCATGTAATTTGAAAATACGTAGAGGATAACAATTCCCCACAAACACCGAAGAGTTTCATTTGATACAGGATGATTGCATAGGACTAGATCAGCGGTTCCCAACCTTGGGGTCGCGACCCCAAAGGGGGTCGCGAAAAAAATTCGAGGGGTCGCGGCGAGGTGGTTGGGGTCGCCTGGGGTCGCGGCTGTTTCCCGGCTGGCAGAATTGTTCAAAACGGTCGAAAATGCCTTTGAAAACTCGTGTTTTAGACCGACTTTAAGCAGCAACTGCGTCTGATCCGAAGCGGTATTTCGTCCTCCCTCAGCGGGCATTTGGTCTTTGGAGCTTCCTTTAGAATGCCTTTGTTACGGAGTGCGATTATCGGCCTTAGTTTGGGAGCAGTATTGTCTCAAAGTGGATCAAAATGGCATTCAAAGGCATTTTTTACTGTTTTCATCAACTTTGAGACAATACTGCTCCCAAACTAAGGCCGATAATCGCACTCCGTAACAAAGGCATGTTAAAGGAAGGTCCAAAGAACAAATGCCCGTTGAGGGAGGACGAAATACCGCCTCGGATCAAACGCAGTGGCTGCTTAAAGTCGGCCCAAAACACGATTTTTAAAAGACATTTGTGGCCGTTTTGATCAACTTTGCGGCAATACTGCTCCCAAACTAAGGTGGATTATCGCACTTTGTATCAAAGGCATGCTAAAGGAGGGGTCGCGTGGGGTCGCGAAATTTTTCCGTGGGGTCGCGGAAATTTTTTGTTACAAATTTGGGGTCGCGCACCGAAAAAGGTTGGGAACCGCTGGACTAGATTCTAATTTTCACGACTTGCCTACATCTCCCACAGATTCACTTTCCTCATTTTTCTTTTTCTTTAAATTGTACTTTTAATTTTTGCGGCAGTCTATTTTAAAAACGTGCGAAAGTCTCTTCCGCGAAGGACAGTCTGCGGGGGACTTTCTTGATAAGATAGTGCAGGATAATAAACTTGCCGGGCGGGGCATCGAGGCATCGGGAGGGATTACATCGACGCCGGCATGCACGCCCAACAGTGGATTTGCCAGAAGACCGGTGGAGGCGGCCAAAATCCTGGACGCGTTTTGAGCTCCACAGTCGCTGAGTGGGGCTCGGACCGAACGTGTGACCCCACCAATGGATTGCTCTCCGAACGAGGAATCCATTGGTGGGGTCACACGTTCGGTTCAAGGCCTCTTTACCGACTCTGGAGCTCAAAACGCGTCTGGAGTTTTCAGCGCCTGCGCAGGTCTTCTTGTCCACTGTGCGTCACGTCAAAAATAATTTTTTCAGTGTCCCGCAGCAGCGGCACACCCTGCGCGCCTTGGCTGGCTTGGCGCCCCCCACGCCCTGCCACGCCGTACCCAGTAGTTCCGAACAGGCGGAGCGGAATGGCAGCGACTGAAATGGGCCGATTCCGTGAAATACACACGCAGGGCGCGCGGGCCGCGGCGGGCCGTGCAGGGCGATGTTCTACAGCGATAAAGGCCCGCGAATTTCAAACCTCGCCACGCGCGAAGGCCGGAGGGAGGGGGGCTGCGGCCGGGCGCCGAGTTACATGCACATTCCCTTAGCCCACGACCGCCCTAATCCAGGCACTGTTTGAAAAAACGTAACCAAAAACTTTAGCTGCATACTATGTCGTGTTTTTATTTTTCCTGTTTTTAAAATTTTTAAGTGGAAACACGGTTTACCAACTCAACCACCAAGTGTCAAACCAAAAATCTTATTTCGCTTTTCAATTGACTTAAAACAAAAAATCTCGGAAATCTTCTTAAAACCAGTAACAAAATTATTTGCAGCAGTATAGCGTTTGACAGAAAACAGAACAAAATAAAATTGGCAGTCTTTTTTAACACTCATGAACTTGCAAAGGTCTTTTTGTTTTTCAAATCAGTCGGTATCACATTATACGAAACAACTGGGTGAAAATTTCCGCTCGCCACGAGCGTGCCGTGTGCGCTGGCTGGCGGACCGCACACTTTGCGGTTCGATCGGAATGTAATGAAGACGTAAATCGGCGCGCTCCCGACAGTGTACGACCCCCGCGCGCCACGGCCGAGCGCAGCGCGGCGCGCCACACACGAGGTGTGTTCCAATTGCGGCCGAGCACGCACCTGTTCTCCATGCCGGCCCGCGACAAAAGGCCCGGAAGCGAACCCCCCGCCGCCCGATACACTGCAAGCCAAGGTAATCCACACACACACACACACACACACACACACACACACACACACACACACACACACACACACGCACACGGGGGTGGATGTGTCGCCGCCTAAAAGCAGCCGCAGCAAAAAAAAATCACTGAGCGTATTCGATCCTACGATCTCATCGTCCTCGGCAGTTTCCGTGGCACGGCGCAGGTGCACACGCTTGACTGTCTCCGGGCGACTCAAGCCACGTACAACAAGTCTGGTTCGGCAACTGCAGCGACTGCACTCTCGTCCCCGATAACAAGACGTGTCTGCTCCGACTCGAGGCGCGCCCGAAGAATATCGACACGGTGCCACGACGATGGCGGTTTTGACACGGGGTTCGTTCGTTTCGGGAGGCCAACGCGGCCACCTGACACTCGAGCACGAACACACGGACGCGAACACACACACACAAACACACGAGGCGCGTCGCACGCGTTGCTGCCGGCAGCATGCACAATACTGAATCACGCTTTGATAGCTGCAGCGGCCGAGGACGCTACCCGCCCCAAGTGACGCGCGTGCGACGGAGACGCGCCGGGGAGACCTCGGACGCGGGACAGAGACGGAGCGCGGACAGACGCGACGGCCTTTATCTTATCACGCTGCAGCGCGGCCTTCCAAAAACGAAGAACAAAGCGCGCCTCGCCTTATCACGTCGGCTCCGAGCTCATCTGGGAGGCGGTGCGGCGGCGCGCCAGATTCAAACGGGATCCGAACGGAGCTCCGCGTCTTCACGGTGGGCCAGAAGACCAGTGGTGGCGGTCGAAATCCCGGAAGCGTTTTGAGCTCCAGAGTCGCTTACATGGGATTCGAACCGAACGAGTGACCCCACGAATAGATTGTTCTCCGGACGAGGAATCCATTGGTGGGGTCACACGCTCCTTCCGGGTCCTGTTTAGCGTCTCTGGAGCTCAAAGCACTTTCCTTGTAGCCTGTTGCTCAGCATCCGTTCCAAAACAGACAACGCTTCCGCAGGATTGCCACTGTAGTCTTGGAAGTCACCCGGAGTAGACTCGTCCTACTCGAAAAGGTATTGGAAATATCCGAAGCGGATAGGCGAGACTGTTTTTAGCGCGGAAGGGGCAGCAGCACCGTGTTGAGCGTAATCATTAGTCACACCGTATTGTCCCACTCAGGTGCTTATTTGAACGAGCCGCTGCCAACTCGCCAACTAGTACGCCCCAACTCGGCGGCGAAATAAGTTCGGCGTCCACTCTGTTGATTGCGCAGTCCGACCAGAATGGCCGGAGTGGCCACTGGAGCGACTATGGACCACGGCCGGGCTGCCCACGCAAGGGGCAACAGGTGCGAACAACAACAAACTATGTCTGGCCAGGGATTAACTCCATTCCCTCGCACAAATTGCCTTCTCACACGCGGGCCGAAGACTGTCCTCGATACAGGGGAGCCCCGGGCGAGCGGGGGGCAAGCTGCTCGGGGGAAAGACACGTGGGGGCTCCGCTCATGGCCGTAACTCGGTGGCAGACAGAGGCAGGACTCCCGCACGGCGGGCCAGCTAGAAGACCGGTGGAGGCTGCCAACACTCTTAACGCGTTTTGAGCACCAGAGTCGCTCAAGTCGGGACAAGGCTCTGGAACATAGTGTGACTTGCAAGTGTGACTTGCGAGTGTGACTGGCAAGTGTGACTGGTGACCACTGGCACAGGGTCGCTCCACACCGCCCTCCTTTCTCTGCACGACAAAGCGGCACCGCAGCGGGGCACTACACTGCCCGCTTGTTTGCGCACTTGCAAACGCCGGACGCCCCAGCGCTGGCCAGCGCTTCGCGGGGCTTCGCAGGCTTCGCAGCGCTTCGCAGCGTGAGCGTGGCGAGGCGGGGACGTGCCCATCCTGCCCCTGATGTATGGCTGGCGCTGGCGCTGGCAGTGGAGTGGTGGAGGTGTATGGGTCGGGTCGGCTCGGTCAGGGGATTATCTCTCGCAAGCCAGGTCCTGCATTCGCTGCGTATAAATCTGAAAAAGACAATCTCAACTTGCGTCCGGCTTGGACGCGTCCCTGCCACGCTGCCCCGTCTGCTGCCCCCCCCCCCCCCTCCTCTCTCCCTCTCTCTCTCGGCCCAAGAGTTGTGACGTCCGCCACCCCACTGTGGATTGATGAACACACCATGACGGTGCAGACGGGGCATGATGTCAGGTGAGCCTTGAGCGACAATGGGGCTCCGATGTCAGACAGGGACACACACACACGCACACATACTCACACCTGTAGACACAGTCACACTACACCACGTCACGTGCGACAAGTGCTTTTCACTGCGATTAACAATGGGGTGCGCTCAGGTTTACTCCCTGAAACTCAATATTTTGACAGGCAAACACATTTCGCACATTTTTTTGCCGTCGTCCTGGTCCCTCCCCGTCGTCTCTGCTGGTCACTACGCATGTCCGGCAAAGGCGGGAGCAGCGAGGGGAAAGGGCCTATGGCCCTTAGCGCTCTTCTCTCCCTCCCTCCCTCCTCCCTCCCCTCTCTCTCTCTCTCCCTCCCTCCCCCTTCCCGCTAACGACGTCGTAATGGCCCATCGGCCGGATGCGTGGATGCGCCCCGTCCCATTCAGGACGACCTGACCTCGGCCCGAGTCCAATTGCCCGAACAGCCACCCCGTCCACACAGGGAGAGAGAGAGAGAGTGAGAGAGGGAGAGAGAGAGAGTGAGAGAGAGAGAGAGAGAGAGAGAGAGAGAGAGAGAGAGAGAGAGAGAGAGAGAGAGAGAGAGTGTGAGAGAGAGGAGAGGTCCTTTTCGGTCCCGCTTACGACAGGCAGCCCAGCCCCCAAACAAGGAGGCAACAATCCTTTCTGCAGCTCCATCCAAGATGGTCCACGGCGGCAACCCCCACCAAGACGCGCGGTCGGCCGGTCGCGGGATCGCCTCCCGGTAGCGGCCGTTTCCTTTTCCACCACCCAATCGACACGTACAGGTGGCTCATCGCCAATTATCTGCCAGTGAGGACGACGCCGCAGGCGCGCCCTGGGTAGAAAGGACGTGACCGACATCGGAAGTCGACCTGTGCCACATTCCGTTTAGTGAGTACATCGGAAGTACATTTTCACACATGCCCCTGGTGACACACTGGGAAGGAGCTAGCCTTGCACTACTACCACTTTGCCAAGGCTACCTCCGCATACCTCCAACACACTGGTCCGACTGAAAACATGTTGTTCAAAAGTTTGGTCCGACTAGAATACCACTTGAACAAGCACTGTCGTCTGAATTGCACAAAATTGTGCATTTTCAAAATAATATAGAAAAAGAAGTCTTACGCTACTTGTTTACTCCCTGGCTGATCATTTTAAAATGACTAAGAAATCGAATCAAATCTGAGCCGGATGGTTTTCACCGTCCAGGCGGAGGGTGGCAGTGTGGTGCCAATCACGGGGAAGCCGCCCCAGGCTGGAGGGGAACGATGCAGTCTGACAGTGTCACTCTGTCTCTCTCGCACTCACGGGGCGTCGCGTAGGAGTGAGAGAGAGGGAGAGAGACAGAGACAGAGAGAGAAAGAGAGAGAGAGACCGTTTTCCATTATCTCTTTCTGATGAAGCTAGTTAAGCAGGATATGCTCCTTTATGCTGCAGGCGCCACCGGCACAGAGACGCGCGCGCGCACACACACACTCACACGCACGGAGGCAGAGGCGAGGCGGAAATACCTGAAAACGCCAAATTCCACGCGACTCATGCTCTCTGCTTTTGTTGCGGAGCACACACCCAGGCCTGTGACAGGGAGCGAGGGAGGCACTGGAGGGACTGGAACGCAAAATTAAAAGCATTTCTGAAATAAATTGGTAGACGTGCGCGGCTAGCGGGGCGCGCCGCGGAATTGAGAATTCCACTTTCGCAGGAAGAGGACTTGGCTGCTCGGCAGCCTTTACCCCACACGTCAGAAAAATGGGTCACTCGTCGCCACGCCTGCCCGGCCTGCCCACCCTGTCGCACCTCACTGGACCAATTTTCGCGCCAACAGTGTCGGGGAGCGTCCTTCTGTTCCTACTGTTCTGAACATTGTCTAGTTCTATGTTTTATAGTTTTTGTTGTTTTTTTTTTCAAGTTGATTTTTACAAGACTTTAATTAATGTTAGGTAGGACTGCGTCGATTGTTGCTGGGTCAGAATTATATCCTAGGGGAATTATAATTTTTATATTGTTGTTGACTTTTTTCGAATTTTTTGAAGGGAGCCGAGCGGCCTTGCTATGAATCGGAGCATGCACCACACTGTGTGGCCGCGCAAAGTAACCGTGTCTTTTTTCCACGTTGCCTTTCCTGAAATATGCGGTGCGACACAGTCCGGCCTGGTGGGCGCGCGGCGCCGCACGGCCCACCCCACTCCTCCGTGGCATTCCCGCTCACAATGGGCGGCGGGCACCCTCCGAGAGCCGTTTTCGGCGCTCTGTCTCTCTCGCACCCGTACGGGACGCCCCGTGAGTGCGAGGGAGACGGAGCGACGAGAACGACTCTCGGCACCAGCCCGCCGCGCTCCCCCGAGGCTCGGCCGGGCTCGGCCGCGGCGCGCTCCGCTCGCCATGTTGGTTTCAATGTCCGGAACGGTCCGGAACGGGGCACTACACGGCAATGGAACGGGTGCGGGCGCGCGGGCGGCAAGGCGATGGAATCAGAGTCGGAAGAGGTCGGCGGTGATGGCGCGCCACGGCGGTGGACGCGGGTGGAGGGGGAGGGTGGTTGTGGTGATGGCGGTGGTTTGTGCGCGAGGCCCACCTGCCTTAACCTTTGATGTCACCGAAGTCGAGCGTGAGGCGTATGGTCACCGGGGCGGGGGGTTAGAATGGAGGCGAGGGGGAGCCGCAGACACAGACGACACGGTCCCCGCGCATTCAGCGCCGCGCCCCGCCACGCCCCGCCACGCCCCGCACCCCAGAGGCCCCAAAGGGGGCATTACCTCCGTAAGCATTCACACCACAGTGATCCGTGGCGCGGCGTAGCGCAGCACGACCAATGGGACACACTCCCCCAGCAACACGCACGCAGTCACACACACACGCACACACACACACACACACACGGCGCGAAGGCTTCTAAAAATACACGCTGGCTGACCTGGACAGGGCCGCGAGCGAGACGTGACTTCTTGTCCGGCCCTCGACAAACTCCATCAATAACTGCGCGCCGAACGAAAATACATCACACTCCCTTTTCTGGGCCATCTTGTTTTCTTCTTCCTTCTTCGCGCGAACAGTCAGTCAGCCAGCCAGCCAGTCAGGCAGCCAGCCAGGCGCCGCCTCGCGCGTGCCGAAATCCAATTTCCGCTAAACGGCGAAAGATCCCGGGCAAAAGTCCGGAAGTGGAGAAGCGGGACAAGGCTGCGTGGGATTCGAACGCGGAGTGCCGGGAGTCGAACCCGAGGCGCAGCGCGCGAGTGGGGACATTCCGACTCGGGCACGTGT